ACCCTACGCGGTTTTATTTACACGATCTTTTGTTACTTTTTTCGCCAGTGACGTCACGATTAAATCGTATATAATGACCTATAACTCCATAAGAAATTGCCAAAAAGCGATTTTAAGTTTGATTATATTATAAATGGCATATCAAAATTCCCCTCTAGAACAAAAAATCATTTTGCTAGTTCTCTTTTAAGACTGTCCCCGACGCGATTTTTTTTTCCGTACGAAACATTTACATGAAACTCCACTCGGGCCGTCTCGACTGAATCGACTCGGGCCGAAAATCTCATATTGCAGAATTCAGGAGGTCAAAAGGTCATCAACAGCTAAACGTCTACAAAATGCAAAACAACTTCTGAGAGAACGTCGCTGTCTGATTTTTAAAAAATATGTTACCATGCTAATACTAATGGGTCGTTTAAAATGACATATAATTGAGCTGCACGAGTAATGGAAAGTGATTTGAACTTGAGTTAAATACTGTGACAATTTTATTTATTTTTTTTTAGTTAGATCTGGGTTTTGCATATTTACTAGGCCTACTAACTACTAAAAATATACGCTTTCAGGGGAAAGCACAAAGAGGAAGGAATAGCGCGTTTATCAAATGAAAGAGGGTGGCAGTTATTTTCAAATTAAGAGAAGAGTTGAGAATAGGCAGCTCTAAATACTGGATGCCAAAGACCTGCCAAAATGGCAGAGCACCAATGAATGTATAAATGTAAGCCTAGTTATATGGTAAATAGTATCTGCAGGTTCTTGATTACAAGGCTAGACCAGGTTAATTAATGCCGAAATGATTATTAGGGCCTATTTATTATTATTATTAGGCCTATTATTATTATTCATTATTATTATTAATTATTATGTTATTAAAACCTACCTTAGGAACTTAGACAATGGAGAAATTAGAGAACATTAAAAAAAAAAAACGACGTTTAAGGGGAAATAGCACAAAAGATATTCCCTTGTGCTAGCTATTAATTATAGGCCTAGTAAATAGGTTATTGATTACAAGACTTGGGCCAAGGTAGTAATGCTGAAATTATTATTATTATTTATTATTATTATTGTTATTATTTAACATTAATTACATTACAGGGATATTGGCCAAGTTCAATAACTTCGGAATGGTATATTTTATTTATTACGGTATTATTTAATAATATTTCTCTTATGCACTCTATTTTTTATTTCATGCTTCAATTTTTTCCCCTTTTTTTCAAAATTTCAATCAACGTCATGTGAAGCGTGACTGTTGGTGTCAGCCAGGACCCTAGCCTAGGGACCAGCTAGGCCTAGTTTAGGGAGGGCCTATGGTAGGTAGGACTTAACTCCGCCTGCTTTAGGCCTGTAGTTTATCTTCTTTCTGTTAGCCTTTGGTGTACGTCCTATCTACACTTTATAAAGGGGGGTACTAGCTGTTGTTCTTGTAAATATTATACTAACATTTAATAACATACAAGAAGGTCACAGTACATCCCATAAATCCGTAAGATTTCATAGGCCTACCTAGACCGTGGGTTGAGGATCGAAAACGTTCAATTCTGTGACCCACCAATCCGGGCTACCTGGCTTTTGCACAAAAATGTCAATACTATTAAATTGTAACATAATTTGATTGTCGGCAATCGTGAATTTGGGGAAACTGTAACCAAAAATGATAATTTATATCAAAAGTTGCTACATAACTATATCCAATCAGAAGACGACTAACAATGAAGTTTGGCTTAGCTGCAAGGCCCTCAGCCAATCACAAACTACCTTCTATGCCGTTTGTCCAATGTAAATAGTAAACAACACACTCCACTTGCAAGTATGGCGTTGGACAGAAGTTCTTCAAATGATAAATATGAGCCGGTTTCAGGTATATTTTTGTGATACATGTTGTAAGAACCTAGAGTATGGTTGTGTCATTAAGCGTAAACAGCTTAAAGAAATTTACGGATGTGCAACTCTGTGGAAAACAACAAATACGAGTCCTCAGTAAGGCCTATTAAGTTTCCGTCGAAGCTGATGAATAGCCTACATATATAAGGAAGGGGATCAGGGATGGTGGTGCAAGTAGTAGTAGTCAAAATTGCACCGAATCTGTTCAAAGGTACGTGTGTGGTTACATATAACGTTAAAAATGGTATGGTATGTTTTACTTAATTGAGAAGCACTAAGCGTCTCTCTATCACACCACACACGCA